GGATTGGATGGTGGTATTGGAATGGTGGTATTGGATTTTGGTATTGAGGTAATATTTCGCCCGCCAAAAAAAACTTGCGGTACTCAAAGCTACATACGTACGCGTACATAGTTGCTTTGAGTACCGTAGATACATAGTAGCGTGGGCAAATTCAAGAGTGGCTCGAGGGCAAACCAGTGGCGAAAAGCGGGGCGGCAAAAATCCGCGGCCAAGATTGTCAGCGCGGAGCGTAGCTCCCCGGGTCCTACGAGTTCCGGGTAAGGTAGCAGCAGCGCAAGGCGCTGCGCACTTCCGTCTGCGCTGCAAGCCAGACTTGGTTAAGCCTTGACAAAAGGGCAAGACTTCTGAAATCCACTTTTCTTGAACGTTGTCTAAGAAATCGGGGGAGTTGATAGCAAAACATATCAAAATAATGTGCGAATCACTAGAGCCAAGAAAACAAAAGCTTTAGAAAATGAGATTTCTCCGGATAGACGACAGCTGAAGTCACAAGAAGAGACAGGGCAGACGCACGGATTAGAGAGTGGTCAAAGTCTATTGTAATCCTCTTGACCGGCTGTATCCCAAAGCAGTTTGACTCATTTGCCGTCTACTTCAACATTGGCAACATAGTTCTCAAAGACAGTTGGAACATAGACCTGGATAAATCGGAAATGAAGGTCAGTTTGATGTGACAAGGCATGAAAGCGTGGAGGAGAGTTTGATGAAGCTAATCAGAGTTAGAAAATGGTTGGTACTAAGTTGATGGAATAAAGATAGCTTAAGTTGCTTGCTGACGATGTAAGACATCGAGACCGAACATACTCTCTTCAGGATCTGGATCCCAAAGCTTCAACCCCAACCTACAAACGGGAATTGCGGGAACAGGCATCTTTGCCCGCTTGAGCATATGTTTTGATGGATCCCCCATGGGTTCATACAATCAGGGCAGGACCGCTCATCCCAGCTCATCCCAGCTCATCCCAGCTCATCAGTGTTGATGAAGTTGGACAATGGCTCAGTGCTCCTGAGGTCAATGCCTGAGTCTGGCGGCTGGGGATGGGGCAAACTGGGCAAGCTCAGCGTACCAATTTGGCCTGGACAGAAAAATCACAGTTTTTTTGACACTTTTGCACAAGATTGTTGGGCCCCCAACGTTGGGGGCCTTCGCCACGGGCACTGTGACAACAGTAAAAATATATAGGGGTGGTTCCTTAAGCTTTGCCAATCAATAAAGTGAAATCCACACTGATTATATACCAAGCCTTTGCAATACACTTGTCAGATAGATATTTGTCTAACCTACCTCAGGTCCTTATTGTATTCCCTTTGTGCTGTCTTTCTGTTATTTCATCCAACAATTTCAATTCCAATCCTTCATCTCTATGCTCCTTTTCTTGATCAATCTGATGTTTGCAATCACAATTTGTGTAGGATGTCAAGCATGTATATTTCTACGTTTTGTTTTATAATCTGATGATTGGATGGTACTGAAACCTTGATGGTAATTACTTTCATTTGATTTGACATCTTCTCATTTCATGAATTGAATGAAATTCTATGTTATTGACTCACTGAAAGTCTTAACAAAAGGTAGATGAAAGGATTGAGTATAGCATACTTTTGCTTGGTATCTTTTCATATCAGAGTGATACCACTTGAGGGTGATTGTAGATTTATGACAAAGAGAACTGGTAAGGTGGAGTTTATTTGATTGATTCAAATGACAAGTGAGATTTAATTGTTTATCTTACTGATCAATTCAAACATTCAATTACTTGTTCTGACAACAAGTTTTTTGAAACATTCTTCTGGTCAAAACCATCTTCAAGCTGGTCAAATATACTTTGTGAAGAAATTGTCCCAGTGTTTGTAAGGCAAAAAAGCAATGACAGAAATCAAGACAGGCAAGTAATGAATATGGCCAAAACCTGGGTCTGGGTATCTGACAACACAATTCAACTGTGGTGTCTGACGTGTTCAAGCCATTCCAGAAGACAAACCAACCAACAATCTTAAAGGGCTTTCCAGCATCCCAATCCCACAGATGCTCTGTCAAGTATCCGTCGAATCTTTGGTTCTGGAGCACACCTTGGAACTGAGCCGCTCCTAAAACTGTGTGTCGTTTGGAGCTTGCAAACAAATCTCAATAAACCATCCAAAATGTTACATATCTGAATGCTCACATAAGTAGTATTGAACATTCCAAGTACAGCCTCAGGTGTGTTAAGCAGTAAATCATCCAGAACTGTAACATATATTCGGAGGCCCACATTGGTGTATCACACATTACAAGTACAACCTCAGGTGTGTTAAACTCATAAATATCCAGATGTTTGGTTCCTTGATCATTTGTAAAGAGCCTAATAGTGAACCAATATGCTTATACTTGTATCAGGCCTTTAGGGTACTGGGAGAAGCCCATCACACGATTCTCCCTCACGTTGCAATCTCATCATAGTGCTTCCTATTGCTTGTATTCCCTCTCTCGCAAGCCCATAACATATTGCAATGTCTATCTTCAAGGATACAAACAACGGGACAACACTCAATCAATCAAAGTTAAGAAAAGAAGAAAAAGAAAAGGAAAGAAAGTTTCATGATAGCCTGATTGGATAGGCTTGATCATGATTGATGCAGGGGAATGTTTCTCAACAATCAAGTTTTGAAGATTGAATTTCAAAAATGAAAACTGAAATTTGAAAATCAAAAATGGGTGGCGGGACCTCCTGTCTTGGCTTTATGATATCTTGTAAAGGACTTTCACAGGTGAGAAATGTAGTATGGAAAGAAATCACTGAGGGCACAGTGTCTGGATTAGACTACAGCTTCACAAAGTCTTAATCAAGAACTTGAGACCAACCTGTGAGCTTGAAGAAAAGTTGAGGAGAACGCGTAAGGGATTTGAACACAGAAATTGCAATGAATTATTTTGATTCTTTTCGACACACTAACCTGAGGGCACAGTGTCTAGATTAGACTACAGCTTCACAAAGTCTTAATTGAGAACTTGAGACCAACCTATCAAAACAATAACAAAGGAAACAGTTTAAAAGAGTAACAGTTGAGATACAAGAAACTTGACATAAGATGATCAAAAGAAATCTTTCACTACCCGCGAGCTCAAAGAAAAATTGAGGAGCACACGTAAGGGATTTGAAAACAAAAATTGAAATGAATTGTTTCTAATTTAGAGAGTGAAATGTATTAGTGTTGATATAAAACAAACTTAGGAAAAAGTTTAAGAGAGAGACTCACTGATTCTTTTTGACACAAAAAGAATCAGAAAAAGGGAGGAAAAGAAAATTAAAATAGAAGCTTAATATCCCAAAACAAAAACGAGAATTTCCAAAACCCCTTAATTCAGTTCACCATCACCCCTTTGTTCATCTAGCTGCTTTTCCACTAACACTGCATTGCCTCGCTAATTTCCCAACATCACGTTACATACAACCCTAAAAACGAAAATCATTCCAACCTCCTCCAGATCCAAAATAGGAAAATGATCTTTGACCGTCTAACCAAGATTAAATATCTTAACAGGCTTCTGTAGGAACAAGTTGTGGGTGAGGCACGTGGAATTCAGGTTAAATGTGCTGAACGTGTAAACCTGGAAATTGGTAGTGGGAAGTGGGAGTTTAATCTGGTTTTGCCACTGAACACAGTTTTCCTTTGACTTGAATGACAATAAGCAAAAAGATTAAAACTCTTTGTAGCACTTATAATTGTCTGACTTGAAAACCGGCTTCAAGAAGGTTTTCAAGTTGGTGTTGTTTCTCAATTCCCAAAATCAAATATTGGCCTTCTTCCCACTGTAAAAAAGTATGTAGCAAACAGTATGTACACATACATACTTGCTTTGAGTAACATAGACTGTGTTTCCCTCCCAAGGAAAATTTCTCCCAGAATTTTTTCTAAGTTTGTGTAGACAGGGATCTGTTGAAAAGAAGGAGGCACATCTCCCTGACCACTTTATGAAAAAAATGGTAATTGGGAACTTGATGAGCTGAAAATCTAAGATTTCCTTTACTAATACCTACTACCTTCTGTGCAAATTTCACTCTTTTCCTGAAAGTCCCTTACACCTCAGGCATTGCTTGCTATGTTGAACCACTGCACAAGGGACTTTGTTAAGTCAATTCACTGCCCCTAGATTGTAATCTGGCACATGCGGGTCTGATTCAAATGTCATACATGATGAGAACCTGTAACACCTTGTCAAATTGAAACTGTTATTCAATTTTGAGTTACCCATAGAGTTACAGTTGAACCAGTCTAGTCTCAACCACAGGCCGGCCCCAAGACCCAAATTTTGGCCCCTCCAGAATACCTTGGAGGCCCTCCGGAAGACCAGATTTGAGGAATTAAGTACTTAAGTACTTAGGTTGAGTACTTAAGTCCTTACGTTAAGTCCTTACGCATTGATATTAGGCCGCCTAAGGTACCTAGACCCAAATACTGAGGTTTTGGGGATTTTTTTCAAAAAAAAAGAATTGGCCCATCAGATCAACTTTTCAAGTCATTCCTGACAATAACACCATGTAATAAGCCCAAAAATGACTTATTACATGATGTTTATCAGTTTGAGTCATGTGTATAAATTTCTGTAACGAAATTTCATTTTTGCAGAGCGGTTGTGGTTGAGACTAGACTGGTTCAACTGTATATGTAATTCTGGAATGGTTTGAGGGTGATGATAGGTACTATAGTGCTTATCACTGAAAATACCAAAATGTAGAACGGGGTTGTGCTCTAAAGATTGGTATTTGAAAAGCAAGAAAAAACTATGGATTGTTCCAAAAAGCTATGGACACAGAGTCCTCAATCTCACATCACCAAAGTGACTTGTGGAATTCAAAAAAGGTGAGTTTTGGCAAAGGGGATAGGTTTTGGAGATCAGATTAGATTTCCTTGTTTTCAGGGATAAGCACTATATTATAATATTTACATTTTTCTCCACAAATGAAATACATTCAAATCAAAAAGTCATGAAAAGTCATGTAATTTATGTAATGGTACATTGAATAAAAGTTTGACGTCAAATAACATCAATCTGTGCGGGTGTGAAATACACCCTCCCTTATTCTCCACTTCCTTTGAAACAGATGTTTCAACAGGTTCAGACCAGTTTGAGGAGATAGAATTGTGTGGTTTGTGAGAAGCGGTTACCAATGTCGCACTCAGGGCAATATCCATAAAGCCTCAACTCTCTTGAATCTTTCCCTTCAAACTTCTCATCAGTCATCAATACACTCTATCCCCGCTGCTCTAAAATCTTGGTTATTCTAAAGCTCTATATAAATTAGTTCTAGCTACAAAAATATTTTTTGGTGGGTACTTTTTGATGCTTGTTATTATGGTTCTCTTTGTTTCCATTGCTCACCTATACACCACTTTGAATTGTTAGCCAGTCATTATAGATGA